TACTTGTCATGAAGGGAAACAACAAACAATACCAGTTTCAGGTTGGGGAGCCGAGATGGGAGACAGTAAGGGCTTAAACCAAAACTGAGACTAGAAACTATAGGCTGAGACTAGAAACTATAGTAGGATCAGCCTTGGACAGGACCTAGCATTTCATTTTGTTGCAAGGGATTTAAAAGGCCAGTGGGAAAAAAAAAACTAGGACATCTTTCTCATGCCAAATACAAATATGAGTGGGAGACAGAGAGAAGTGAAGGCTAGAAAGACCCAGAAGTCACTATAGAATAAGTAAGGTCCCCAAGTCCTTGGTGATTCTGAAACCCTGATAAAACATTGTTTTCAGTTTTAGTGTGTAAGGCTAACCCACAATGTTCTAGTTTGCTTTCTGGTGCTGTGACAAACACCACGCATGCAGAAAGCAACTTAGAGGGAGATTTATTTGGCTAATATTTCCAGGTCACAAAGTACATCATGGAGGGAAGTCAGGGAAGGAATCAGACAGAAACTTGAAGCAGAAACAATGTGGAAATGCAGCTAGCTGCCTCACAGCTCAGGATCAGCTGCCCAGTAGGGTTGGCCCTTCTATATCAATTAATAAAGACACACCCCCAAACCTGCCCACAGGCCAATCTGATTTGCTCCCTCAATTGAGACTTCCTTCTCGGTGACTCTAGGCTGCTTCAAGTTGACAGCTAAAGCTTACTCAACAGTTTTACACTATCAGTGCATGTCACAAGGAAATCTTGCAGTCTTTGATGGTGGTAGTATTGCCAATAGCTACATGCTAATAAAGTATATCGCTTCTGAATCCTTGTTTCATAAATTTAACTGAAACTCAAGCATCTTTGATTAATTTACAGTGATAAGATTTTTTTACAATTGGTCCCTAGTATGTCATGAAATACATTCAACAAGGCAAGATAAGGCATCTAGAATCCAAAGCTTCATATGTTATGTGGTGGATAATATGTGTAGTATTTAATTCGGACAATGGGAGCACTATGGTTATGTTAGTAAGAATCCTTGCTCTTCTTGTTTGCCAATCATGAGGTGCTAAATTCAGCAGCTGCCTGTGTCTGTGGCATCCTCACCTCCTCAGCAGCATGTCACAGATAACCACTGAAGCAGAATAACAGAAGTGTCCCAGAAACACTGTCTTAGACGCTCATGCAAGTGTTTTCTGGAAACGGCCTTGCTGTGTCACCAGGCAGAGCTATCCCCATGTAGCTTTTATTAAAGACTATATTTAATGATGTGTGTGTGTGGGGACAGGCACCAATGTCGGTGCTCATGGAGAACAGAAGCATTGGACCCCCAGGAGCTTTGGCTACAGGTACTTGCGAGCTATCCAACATGGGTGCTGGAAACCCAACTTGGGCCCATTACAGGAGTATCCACACTTAGCCGCTGAGCCATCTCTTTAGCCCTCAGAGGATTATTAAGTAAATTCATCAGCTTCCATGACTCTAGCATCCCCATCAACAGTTTTCAGAAGGTGGTTCTTGGGTTGGAAGTAGTAGAATCAGCAGAGAACTGTTTAGAAATATTACTTTTTAGGTCCTCCTACATCTAAGGATTCTGAGTCTGTGGGCAGGACTGTCAGTCAATGCTTGTCAATCTTCACAAGTGTTTCTAATGAACTCTGACATTTGAAAGTTATAGGTCTAGATTAGTATTTCCCATAATGTAGGTTATTACATAAACACTTTATAATGAAGTTTACTGTAAATAAATCACGTATAACCAACACTTAAAAACCAAACAAGGGCTAGAAAAAGAACAAAAGAAATCATACTGTAAAGTAGTATTTGTGTAGCTTTTGGCTCAAATATACATGCATATTTCTACACATGACCTCTGCTGGTTGTTATGGTTTAGACCTTACATATCTCTAAAATCCCATTTGTTAAGGCTGGAGAGATAGCTCAATGGTTAAGAGCACTTGATGCTTTTGCAGTGGTCCCATGTTCAAATCCCAGTACCCACAAGCTAGTTCATTAACAACCATAACTCCATTTCTAGGGAACCTGACATACTCTTCTGAATTCTGTGGGCACCAAGCATGCAGTAAATATATACATATAAAATTAAATAAATAAGCCCAAAACACTAAAGTTCCATTGGTTAAAGGCTTGGCAGCCAGTATGTGGCTCTGCTGGGAGGCCCTGCACACTCAGGTGGGATCTAAGGTCGGTAGTCAGGAATGTTCATAAAGGGATACTGGGTCCTAAGCTCTCCTCTCTCTCTTATTCCACCTCCTCAAGTCTTGAATTTCCTCACACTGTACTCTCCTCTCTTCCATCCTCTATGATTTGATCAGCTCCTGAGTCAAATGCTTCTAACTGATCTGTTTCACAGACATAGGCTCAGATCAACTGGTTAAGGAACCTGATCGAAGACCTTTAAAGCTGAGTGAGAAGAAATTGTTTCCTCTTAAAAGTTGACTTTCCCTAACGTTTTCTCACAGGGACGGACAGCTGACTCACAGTTAAGATGTTCCTGCATGGCACGGTCTCAGTGTTTTTCAATTTTATGAAGACTGCATGAGTCATGCATGCCTAGCTCCGTGTCCCAAGGATCCTATCTTAGTCTCTGAACCTTCTACTTAACATGGTCTCACACAAGGCACCGATTTTTCTCATACTACCTTTCGTATCTTATATTTAACTTTTACTCCCACTGTATTTTACTCTATGCTAATCACCATTAAACTAGCTAATTGTTATATCTCTTCCTCATCAGAATATTAGCCAATGAGAAGAAAGAACATTCCTTGTCACTCTTCCAATACATCTCAAAAGTATTTATCCACCATAGCATCCACTCAACAAACCTTATCTACATGAAGTCTAAAACCAACCAACTAATAAAGCCGCTTAGTGGGTTTTGCAGCCTTGTGTATCTCATGTCTGTGATCCTTTTTATAAATCAGCACTGCCTTGTGGGCCATTGGATGAATTTAAGATACATACTTGTAGCTACAGGCCTTGGGAAAATTATGGAATATTTCATAAGATGAAATATATTATACTGGGACAGTAAAAGTGGGATAAACAGTAACCTGATTACTTTTAGCTTAGGCAGATGAACCGAATATTAAATTAAATTAGAAGGGTTACAGAACAAAGAAAACCTATGAGATCTATTCTAAAGAGAGCACAGGAGGCTAGAGGTTTAGGTTGCAGGCACACTGTGTGAGCTACTCGGCACTTCTGGAGGTCAACAGTACAATCAGTGGTGTGTAAGATGGAAGGGTGTAAACACTGAGGATGACAAACACCATAGACAAAGGAATGGAGAGAAGAGTCTTAGAGAATGGATTTGCTGGAGAAACCATGAAATAAAAGTTTCTGTAGTGAAGAGAAATGACAAGTCTTTCAACACTTAATGTAAATCAGTGTCTCTGTTGTTCTCAACACTATGTGCATGTGGGTGTGTAGCATACGTGGGGAAGAGGATGCTGTCCCTCATATCTTATGATGTGAAAGTATTGTGAGTGAGAAGTCCACACCTCTTTGTACCTTTGTCTGGACAGTAGGCATTTTATGCAGCAGCGAGGCCCTTCACAGTGCTAGTGTGGAAACCCCATTCCTACTATTTATTAGCTGTATGATATTGAACACACTCCTGAATTTTTCTGGGCTTCAGTTTCCCTGTGCATATGAAGCAGAGTACTGTAGGACATCCAGTCCCTTGTTGATAAGCAAAGTGAGGCACAAACAGAATAGAATCAGCATTGTAAGCAGTTGTGCTAACATCTGTATGAGAACAAGCATGAGCTCACCCATCAGCACCTGCACCAGTGGCTCTCCACAAGAGGAGCCTGATCAGGCACTGCAGCACTGTGTCCCCACCTATGCTGCTGACTGCACCAAGAAAAAGGAGCTGTTTCTTCATTTCACAGCCGATAACGTTTCTACAGAGCAGACTGCACTCAATCAAGCTTTGTATCAAGCTGTGTTAACTATTGAAAGTGAAGCAAGACAAGGGGCTCTATAAGACACAGATTATACATCAAACATCCATCAAGTCAACTTGACTGTCAGTTCGATTTTTGTATTTCATTTCTACTTATTCCTGCTTATAAAATTAACAAAGTGAGCTTAATGATCATAGCTAGCAACAGGAACAGCAAAGCCTTTTAGAGATGCACCATGTGGCTTGTCAACACCTGTTTCTTCATCCAGCCTTCACTGTCAGCACATGAAGAACTGACTGGCCACTCTTGAGAAGAGGCCACACTTAAGGTCATACGCTAACGAGTGCTACAGCCTGCTTTCAACTCTCTGTTTTTACATCAAAATACTTTGTTGTATTGAAGAGGAACAAATTTTTTAAAAAAGATGTAATGTACATATACATTTCAAAGGACACAAAATTCATCCTTGAAAATGCTCCTTGACAGCATTTTGTACAAACTGCTTGACACCGTCACTAGTTACTTTTCAAACCACTTCTATATCTTGCAGGAGAAACTGCATAAATAGCAACCAGGCTTAACTGTGCTTACTGTACATGCAAAAGGAAATGCGACTTCCTTAGAAGCCCCTAGGAAGCTTCTGCCCAAAGGTATAGCTGATTCAACTACTGCAAAATAAAATCAGGAAACAAATTCCCAATGCCTCCATAAGACATGGTGACTCCCTGAGCTGTTACTTGAGTAACATCAGCATTCCCGTCAAGGTACGTATCCAGAACCTAGGCCGAACTCAGTGTTGGGTTACAGTTAAACCCAACAGGGCTCAGCATTTTTGTCTCAGAACCAATTAGTAAAAATAAAGCATCATATAACATAGCTTTCTTAAGTGTCCTTTGCTAATTTCAAATAGAAAAGCTTAAGAAATAAAAGCCACAGGAATTTCAAAGATAAAAATCTTTATTTTTAACACACGCTGATGCACATTTCTGAAGACGTGGCCCTGTATTTGTGATTCACAATAGTCATGGAGGCATGATTTAATAAACTCTGCATCAACCCTAAATAATGCAAAGGAACTCACTGTCGGTCAGGGCACAGTCTTCTTCACTTTCCTCCATGTCTGCAGATGGAGCTCTGTAAGGTGGGGGCAGCTTCATTGGAGGTGGAGCTGTTCCGTGCCTCTGAAGGTACAAAAGTCAAGAAGAGGGTTAATTGTTTTTATACAATCCTTGTCAATGACAAAAAAGGATAATCTGAAAATAGTCTGGATGCAGATGACTTTGTCCATAACAAAAGTACTGTAAAATAAATATAATTTATTTCCTCCAGCTCCTCTTATAAAAGTAATTTTATGTTAATACAGCAGTGCATCAAAGAGGAATTCAAAAGCATAGCTTTGAAGAGCACTGTCCTCCCCAGAAGAGTGCATCCCTTTCCCTGTAAGAAAGGAAGCCATGTACATTCGCCTCTTACCATGAAACTCAATCCTCTGCATCAGTAACAAAATACTTCATGGATTCTCGAAATAAGCACAAAGGTAACAATAACCCCACGTATCAACTTTACAATTACTAAGGTGTTTTTCATTGTAAGAATTACAGATTATTGATTATTCTATAAAAGTGTTCTTCTATAGTTTGTAGATAGTCACACACATTTAATGTTAAAAGGGAAGTGGTTAGAATGAATAGTTATTTCTGCATAAAGGTGCTCTGAATTTACATAGCAAATAACATAGTTTGAGTCACAACTCTTATAGATAATTAAAGTGAACCAAAATTCCATTGTTAAATTACCTTCACAGAATGAAGACGCATTCTTGAACGAGAGAAAAGTTGAAACATGCCAAACTTTACAGAGAAGCCAGCTGCTGCAGGTAGGAGTTGAGATGCCCACAGCCTTCACAAAAGCCAGATGACTAGACTGGGATTTGTCTTCCTACAGTACTTCAGTAAAGTGAGTTCAATTATGCTTTGTCTGACAAAACCACTAATGTAAGGCATATCTCTGCTGAGTGGACACTGGCCCATTACAGACAAGCCATGCAGTGAACTCCTTCGGAAGAGAAGGCACTATCTAGGATCCGCACCCACATCTTGAATACGATGTCTAATGAAATCAGTGATTATATGTGTAGGAAATACAAATTATCAAAACACAAGCGTGATGAAGTCAAATGTCGAAACATTCATTACGAAGCAATCGAGGATGTGACAGCTGTATTTTTTAAGTGAAACAGGTGAGTGAAAGAAAAAAAACCTCACATGATACCCCCTCCCAAATAACACCTTCTTTTCTCAAATCCAGACCATTCCAAGTCAAAGATGATTGTGCAAACAAGGGGAGGGGCTGAAAGACCTCCTGAGAGCTAAGAATTCCAGCTAATTCAATTACACTCTGTCAGCACTCTTGAGATAAGAACACAAAGTAAATATGTCCTAATCCAGCCTGACCTGGAACCCACCATCTCTCTGCTTAACTCTGGGATTAAGTGTGTACCATGCCCAATGCCCTTGGGTACCTTCCTGATGCACACTGCCAAGATGTCCAGTGATGGAGAAGGATGGAGCTCCCAATGTTGAAACAGGCCAGAAAATGGCAGCTCCATAAACACAGAGAATAAGTCACACTGAGTGAGTGGCAGCTTCAACTTCAGTCCCAAGCACATGGTGACCTCCATACATATTTGCTGGGTGTCTAATAACTGCTTTTAATTATGCTGCTGCTTGAAAGATGAACTTTTACAAAATGACCATGATGTATGCAACTATTTTCATTTGTTTTTTTTAGAGATAAGAGTCCAGTGTGATATAGCTCAGGCTGGCCTTTAATTCTGTATGTATGCCAGGATGACTCTGAACTCCATTTCACAAGTTCTGGGGTTTCAAGCATGTGCCACCCTAACTGCTGAACATGGTTGTCACTTGATAGCAGTGCACAGTGTGTGTATTGTGTGTGGGAGAGACGGAAATTATCTGTCTTGGAAAAAGACAACACCAATGTCACAGCTTTCTTGTCCTGGCAGAAGACATGAACTGATTTCCTATCTACACTGGAGCCTTACCTCCTTGACTCTTGTTCCCTGAACATGCTCACCATCTCTTGTCGCCCTCAATAGTGACTTTAATAAATACTCGGCATCTGCACGTTTTGCATAGTTTTATGAATACTGTTTTTATTATTTTTTCCTAAAATATAGACAGTTTTGGAAATCCCAGTGAGATACTCAAGCAGACCCACCTTCCAAAACTAATGAAACAGATGCCTCGGATATGCGGTTATAGGCAGCTGTGAGCTGTCAGACACGGAAGCTGGGACCTGAGCTCAGGTCTCCTGCAGTTGGTCTTCACTCTCTATGTCCCTCCAAACCCTGATTTACAGGTAGGTGTGCTAGACGGACTGTAACCTTGGCACTTGGGAGATGAGGCAGGGGTGACAGGACCACTGCACTAGACAGTAAGTTCACAGATAGCCTAGAGTACACAAGATGCTCTCCAAGAAACATGAGCAGACAAGCAAACAAAAAACAAAACAAAGCACAAATCAAGATTCTCATGACCAAAATGCCTTGAAAATTTTCTCAACAGACACCAAAACAATAATAATCATACAAACAGCAGTCTGATTATAACTGAAGTAAGTTAGAAAGTCCTACGAGCAAAATGTAGCATTTCTAGGAGCAAATCAAAGGTTTATATTTTTCTGAATTATGAACATTAATGAACAGAAACAATTTCATAAAGAGAAAAACATGCTAGACAACTAAAAGGTTGCAACTTCAGAATGATGTGCTGTCATCCCAAAGCAACCCCAAAACATCACAAAACTAATGTGTAGAAATTGACGAATTGACTCTAAACTTACATAGAAATAAATGGACATAACTGTGCAAGACTTTAGAGGAAAGAATATGAAAAAACAAAACCCCACTCCACCAAAACACAACACTGAGTGGCCAGCATCAGGAACTGAGGAGCAGAGCATGCTAGGATAGATAGGCTGATCAAGAACAAGCTCAGAAGTCAATCTCCCTCCACAACCCCAGCCAGGACAGGCTTGTACTATAAAACCTATTTTAAAATAATGAGCCAATTTCTTTGGTAAAAAGTGAAGAAGCACCCTACTTAATACTATACCGTAAGATAATCTTTAGGTCAACAAATTCTATGAGAACAGATGCAGGAAAACAAAAGTGGGTGATTACTTCTGACTGATGATGAAAACAGTTTTTCCCAGTAGAGATAAATTTTGATGTGGATCTTCTAGGGGAAAAGCAACATGTACAGGAAAACTTCCAGTTACAAGCAGCATGCTCTGGGAACGGCCAGCCAGTCAGCCGAACCAACCAGGAAAGAGGGCTACAGATGTCCTTGGCTGACTGTGCTTCAAGGGTCACCGTCACATGGCTCATACTAGTGGGAACCCACAGGACATCTCAGCCCACTCACCTATGCAATCAGAAACACAGCCTCCCCCAGAGGCTGCCAAGGCTTGGCTTACCGTAGCTCTCCTTTCTTGAGTGTTCTGATCCTGGTTCTGGGCAGGTGTTTTGCCTTTGTTATTCACAGTTGGGATCACCTACACCAAAGGAAAGGGGGGAACAAGACAAATGAGTAAGCCCAGAAGTCTTTTTCTAAACTTGCTGTGATGGCACACACCCACAATCCTAGCCCGAGTGAAACTGGCAGGAGAATCAGAAGCCTGGACTGCACAGTGAGCTCAAGGCCAGCTTGGGTGACATAGTGTCTCAAAAGAAAATGAAAGGTAGTATGCCTTTGATTCAGCACTCCAAAGGTGGAGAGGAGAGGAGCTATGAGAGTTTGGGGCCAGCCTGGTCTATATAGCAAGGTCCAGGCCAACTAGAGCTACATACTAAGACCACATCCAAGGACAGAGGGAAGGATGGAGGGATGGAGGAAACCCATCCTTCTCCCCACCTTTCTAATTTTTTTTTTTTTTGTTAGTATGGTATAGGTAAATGTTCTCACTCTACAGCTCAGGTAGGTCTAGAAGTTGCTGTGTAGTCTAGGCTAGCCTCAAACTCATCATCTTCCCAGTCCAGAACAGGTGAGAGTTATGGAGGGTGTGCCCTGCACTGCAATTTAATACATTCCTTTCTGTCTGTTTATTTGTTTGTGCCACTGTTCATGCTAGGCTTGGCACTGAGCAAGCTGCAGCCTTTATTTCTGTGTTTTTAGATAGTAAAGACTTAACAAACCTAGTGACTTTATCTCAAGGTAAATACATGAGAAATTCAATTCAAGGCCATCAGTAAAAGTAGGTAAAGTAAAGAAGATATGCATTATAAAATCATGTATGTCACAGGAACAAAGAAATTAAAGACTTGTGTGTAAGATGAAGATAACACTACAAAGTTAGACTACTATCACTTAAATATCTCATTCTGCAAAGGAAGTTTGGGTGGTAACCTCTTAGATGCTAGAATATAGGAACCCTCATTCATTTGAAATCTGTAGTACAAGCAAATAAAAGAGACTCAAACTATGGTCATTTTATTTGCTTTTGACAATTACTGAGGGGTCACCCCTAATCTGCTCTTCTAAAAGCAAGCTTGGCTACGTCTCCAGCAGTCTACCCCAGATACTTGCTGTTTCTCCTGGCCAAGGGATCACGGTTCCTCTCCCTCATGGTGGCTTCCTCCCTCTTCCTTGCCCCACCCCCCATCTCTCCTCTTCCAACCAGGTCTCTCCAAACCTACCTACCTCTAATCCCTCCAGGAGTTGGCTGTAGTTAATTTTATTTAACCAATAGTTTTAAATCAAAGAACAAGGTTTGCAAAACAAAAGCTTGTAACTAGGAGAAGTCACTAGTAGGCCTAGACCTTTGGGTATAGAATTTAGCATTACAATACAGAGCAGGAGAAATGCAGTGTGAACCATAGGCTCTGATGGCAAATGAACAGTTGCTAGGTAAGGTAAGTGCTGTAAACAATGGGATTCAGAAGTTCAGAAAGGGGTGTGTGTGCTAGTTCTGATGTAGCACATGAGCCATCAAGTGGCTGATGATGGTGATGGGAAGTTTTCCAGCATGAAAACACTTTTACACATTAGTCCTTGGAATGGTGCAACACTAGAATATGACTTCTTTTAGGGTTGTGAAGAAAGTTCAAAATTTAATGCAAACTGGTCAAAATGTTTAAGAGAGCTGGGCAAGGAGGCCCACACTTGTAATTGAGGCTACTTGTGAGGTAAGTGGATCAAGAATTTGAACTCAGTTTGGACAACTTGGTGAGACTTTGTTTCAAATAAAATAGGGGCTGCAGTTGGAAGGTCTTGGGAAGGGTATTTGCCTATCATGTGAGAGACTCTGGGTTTGATCCCTAGCACTGGGAATTAATATAATTAAATTTGGAAGGGGAAGAGTGCAGCTCAGGGGTACAGTGCCTGTCATGCATGAAGCATGTGTTCTAGGGCAACTACTGTAAACTAGAGAGAGAAACATGCAGGCACTGTCTGCATTTGCCACTCTGCCCCGAGGACTTGTGGCAGTAATTAATCCAATCCCTTTTAGCAAATGCATGGAACTAGATTTGTCATCGGCTTGGGAGTTATTCAGGTTAAAAATGAAACAAGTAAGCCTAGAGACTAACACCACCAGTCAGCACATACCCAGAGGCTGAAGTCTGGCAGCCAGCTTTACTCCTTGGACCAAGTAATATGAGCATGAGCCTGGGAAGATGCTGAGGAGATGCTCCTGCTTTTACAGCTAAGTTTATGTCATCCATGAAAAGCCTTGTAACTCAGCTCACTAGCAAAAGGTACTAGAGGCTGGACATTTTTAGGTGAATCTATAAAACAATCAAATGTTCTAAATATTTTCAACAGGGCACTTAAGGTTGGTGGCAGGGTGTATATCCTGTTGACTCATTTTCTCTCTCAGCTGTTTCTTTGGAAGTGCCATTTGGCAAAGAATGGTCTAGGTAAATTTCCTATTGAATGCAGTTCTAGAAATAAAAGGACAGCTTCAAGTACATTCTCTGTATTATAAAATACAGTTTAAAAAGTGGACTCCGAAGAGCCTAATTGAATCTCAAGTCATATGAGTATGAGAGGATTTTACGAAGTTCACTCTCTGAGTCTTGCTGGGGTGAGCAATACACTGAGAAGGAAAGCTGTAGTAGTGGAGAACGGCAAAGCCGCAGAGCTGTCCACTGTGGCCACGGCTGCAACCCAGCATGCAGAAAGTGCTCTCCTGCATGCAAAGCCCAGCACCACTTGTTTTCCACACAAATATTATCTCTCGTATTCCCTGAAGGACTGACTACATTACAGTACTGAGACACAATCCTGTTAATTATGTAGTTCTACTGTTCAGAAGTACACATTATTTCCATTTCTAGGATTTAAGGCTACTGAGATACATGCAACCTATCCTACAACAGCATCAACATACTGACAATATATCTGTATTTACATGACTCAAACATTCCCAAGACCTGACGGCTTCCCCACAAGGCTTTTATTCCTGATCTTTTTTAACTTTAAAGTAACTGACAGAGAAAAGTGAAGAAGTGTGTCACTATGTTAGCAGAACTGGTAAGCAGGCAGGGAGGGAACAGAAACAGAACACTGTGATTCTCAGGCTTGTTTAAGCCAATTTACAGGACCATGACTCAATTTTGGCTAGCACATCAAAATTGGGCGGAAAAAACAGAGATCGATGGGAAAGGCTAAATCTGTGTGGAGCTAATTAATACACTTTACAAGTAAAACCAAGCAAGAGTAAAAATGTGGGAAGACTGGGAGACACGGTTAACAGAGGTGAACAGAGTACTTGTGTTGAAGACACAGAACTTACCCTGGGGGTGGATGACAGGCTCTGTACCACGAACACCACAGGGTTTCCTGCACTCTTGATTGCCTCCACGGCTTCTGCATGTGAGGCATTCTGCAAGTCTACACCAGACACCTAAACAACACAAGGCAGTGTTCTGATGAGAAAGGCACCAAACTGTAGACAAAGCTAGATCAAGTTCATGTATATCATCCTATGTGTGAGAAAAGGCAGCAGCTACATATGAAATGTTCTGCTGTTTCATGCACAGCATGATTAACATAATGCTTCCAGCTCGGGAGGGACAGCAAGGAAGGCAGTTACATTATAATAGTCCCACTTTCATATAACGACCCTGAACCGGAAGCTGGTATGTTTTGATCCCAAGGTCTCTATACAAGAGCACATGGCTCCAGGTAACAGATTCATGCCTCAGAGTGGAATGAGGAAGCTTTCTGGACTTTTACAATCTCTCCATTAAACTGAGTTACTTAACCTATTATTACAATCCAGAATCTATTTTGCAATTTGTGCTAACAGAAGAGTCTAAACACACACAGGTTCCTTTATTAAAAGTGCTTGTAACTTTCAGATAAAAGATTCCTTACCTGGGAACTCAGAGAGCCTAACTTACTAACATATCCATAGTCTCTAAAACCATAGTTTCAAATCCCAAACAGAGCAATGCCTTAATTGTTAGGATGGGTTTTAGTCAGCAGGGCGGTGGGTGTGTTGCTTTAAGGGGATGAAGAACAGGACTGAAGGATGAATGCAGGTGTTCCTTAGTGCAATCGGAATGACTGATGGGAAGCCCGAGACAAATGGAACTCTGACAAACTACAACAGCAAATCCTGGTTCTTCTCAGCTTTAGAATTCAAATGCAGGAACTCGACTGTTCACGTGGTGAAGACATACTTCTGAGAAATTAACCCTAACTTGTTAAAGAGTTCTTATATATCTACATCTTTTTTTATCATTGCTAAAAGGTTTCTGTTTACAAGACACAGACAGAACTTATCACTGACTTTGAGTAAAAACAAAACAAATAAAAACCTTAGAACAGGGATAACAGGAAGCAGAAACAAATGACTCATTACACCTGACTCAACATAGAGTAAAACCTGACACTCAGTCCCACTGTGACCTTGAAACAACAAGCAGGTAAGGGGAAAATCATTTTATTTACTTAAAGGTTTGATGTATTTGTGTGTATGTATGTATGTATGTACATGTCACATATATGCTGATATTCAAAGAGATAACAAGAGGGCATCAGATTCCCTGCAGCTAGAACCATAAGCAGTTAGGCCAGCCTGATGAAGTAGCTGGGAACATATCAGGTCCTGTGGAACAGAAGCTAGGGCTCTTAACTCCTTCCTGATTTGTCTTTCTGGGCCCCAGATTCCTACCTTATAGAAGATAAAGCAACATGCCACCTGCACGCATGTAGGAGGCATGCTCAGACAACCCACCAGAGAGGATTACCACACAGAAACACACACCAGCTATGGCAGGACGGAGCAACAAACTAAAACCACAACTTGGTGCCTCTACATACCTGTTAGAATGTCGAAATGACAACACTGTCTCTGTATTGATAAAGTAGACAAACTGGATCATTTACTCATGAATTGTAGGGATATAAAATAGCTCAGTCAATCCTAAAAGTAGTCTGATAGCTCTTTTCAAATTTAAAAATGGACTTACCATAAAACCCAGGCAAATAACATTTGTACATATTCCAGAGAAATAAAGACCTGTTTGCATTCGGTAATTGTGCACAGGTATGGAGAGAGACACCTGTAGTTTTGGCAGGAGGTGAAGGTGAGGAGAATGGGAGTTTATGGCCAGTCTCAGCTACAAACAGGTTTATGGCTAGCCTGGGCTACATGCAACTAGAGATATCTACTCTGGAATCATCCAACAAGCCCAATGCAAATATCCACTCAGACCTTAGAGTACTTTTAGTGTTCTCATGTGGATTTAAATTTTAGCTCCCAGGGCTGGAAAGATGTTTTACTAGTTACGAGCATTTGCTGTTCCTGCTGAGTACATGGGTTCAGTTCCTAGCATTTAAATGGCAGTTCACAACCACCTGTAGCTCAAAACTTCCAGAGTATTTAAAGCCTTCTTCTGGCCTCTGCAGTCTCCTGTATGTACATGAAACAAGTAATTCATGTAGTATTCACACACACATATGTATAAAATAATAAGTAATGAATAAATCCTAATAGTAAGTAAGGCTGTCTCTTGTAAAACTGAAAACATGTGAACCAAGGTTTCCCCTTTCAAGGTCACCTTCCTTCTGTAGCCGAACCACAAGCACAAACCCAGAACTTGCTAAAGGTTCTGGGGAAGCAGGCGTCCACCTGTTCTACACGCAGCACTGTGCTAAATAAGTCAATCAGCTGGGGTTCCTGCCTTATCATTTTATTTGCTCCCCCTCACAAGCTAGAGAAGCTAATGCAGTGTGCACACGGTATACAAACTAAGGTGCCACAAATGGACACTACCCATTCCATGCAATTAGATTAAACATCAAGTTGGCCTAAGTGATTCTTTTACTGATTCGAATGTTGCAAGTAAAACATTGTTTCAACCTCACTCACCTCAAGTATTTTATCTCCAGTTTTAAGTGCATTGGTCTTTCCTGCAGGACTGTCTTCTAATACTTGTTTGATGAATATACCCTTGAGTTCCTCTCCATTCTTGAGGCGTTTTATAACTGTTTGTCCACCAACAATGCTGATGCCAAGAGACACATTAGGTTCTCTAAAAATTTCAACACTATAAAAGAGAAAAAGAAAGCACACGTTCATGAATAAGGTAATTTCATCTGCTGTATTGTCACTGTAAGTGTTCTGTCTGTGGCACAGCCTGTGGCTCATGCTTTATGAAAATCTACTAATGCACTTTAGAGATGGCGTATAAATGAAGCTAGCTCCAAAATCATAAGATATTATCAAAATTTATGACATTTAAAAGTTGAAATTTTGAAAAGGTAGATCTCTCAAATAAGAACTCTTGAGATTCGAAGATGAGTTTGCTAAGACTTAATATGAAACGATCAGACATTTCATTTATATGCACAATGTTAGCAGAGCCTCTGAGAAAATAACAAAGAAGCAAAGACTCAAGAAAGCACATACTCATTTTAATGAGACCTCAGTTTTTCAGAGTAAAATAAGCTTGCCATTGCGTGCACTGCTTTTTCCAGTGAGAAGGTTTAAGTGTGAGGTTCTTTGTAGAAAGCTACCTTTATCTGCTTTTTACGTCCGTATCATTGTTTCTGTTTGGTTCCTTATGGATTCATTGTCATTTGAGATAGGTTCTCACTATATAGCTAGGAGGATCTTGAATTGGGATTCTTGTTTCAGGTTCTCACATGCCAGGATTATAGGCATGTGTCTGATACACCCATACACATACCTAAACAATATTTGGGAGAGGATGAGCTCATTCTGCAAGCCCAAACCAGACACAAGAACATTCTCCCCACCGGGGAGAAGAGTGGGAAGCTGGTAGGTGAGAGAAGCCTCCACTAGAGTTTCTGGACCTGCAGCTGCAGAGCATCCATGGCAGCACCACCTCACCTGTAACCAACGCAGGATAAAGCGTGGCGACTCTCAGTGGCTACTCTCACAGACAGCTGTAAGTTGCTTTCTCTGAGACAGCATCAAAGAGTTTACTATTGGCTAATAGTCTTTAGATAAGACAAGAAGGAATTAAAACTCAGCATAGAGGATTACTTATTTTAAGTCTCAACTACAGTGACTAAGTGTCTCAATCAGGGTTTTTATTGCTGTGACGAAATGCCATGACCAAAAACAAGTTGGGAAGGAAAAGGTTTATTTGGCTTAAACTTCCATATCCCTTTTCATCATTGAAGGATATCAGGACGGGAACTCAAAAAAGGAGGAAACATGGAGGCAGGAGCTGATGCAGAGGCTATGGAAGGATACTGCTTATCGGTTTCCTCTCCATGGCTTCCTCAGCCTGTTTTCTTATAGAACTAAGGACCACCAGCACAGGCATGGCAGCACCCACAATGGGCAGAGCCCTCCTCAACCACTAACAATGCCTTACAGCAGAGGCATTTTCTCAACTGCGGATCCCTCCTTCCAGATGACTCTAGCTTGTGTCAAGCTGCCATTGGACTAGTCAGTGCATTAAATAAGTTGAGGAGAAAGGGTGTGCTTGCACTGAGGACAGGAACGGCATATACTCACATTCTTGGTGGACCCCAGTGGCTGAAGTTTGGTGTTTCCTCTCCTTCACCTTCCTCTCTCTCGGGTAATTCACTATAAGGAGAAACACAAAACACTCTTATTCTTAAGTTCTTGGAAGCATCAAAATTGCATGATCTAAAGGTAAACAACTAACTTCTAAACTTTTAAAGTATTCTCATCAATAAACAGAGAGAACATTCCCTGCTTTAAAAGCCAATGCAGCAACAAGCCACATAGCCCAGAATGTCATAGAATAATTAAAAACTGCTAAAACAGGAGACTCTTTTGAAAAGACTGCCTTTAATTTGTCCAATTTCACATCTGCATCAGTATCCATACAAAACATTTTTCTGTTGTTCTATAAAGAATCTCATGTGTAACCTTCGTGCCTTGTTTGCCCAATTACTGAGATGTCAGGAATGCGTGACTACACCTGGCTAGGGTATGTTTCTTAAACCTTGCACTGATTGACCAGCTCACCCACTGCTTTATTTTGCCTCTCAACTTAGATCAACTTGCTGATCTGGATAACAAGAAATGCTGAATGATGGCGTGAACTAGTTAGGACAGTAATGAGATTGCTTTTGGTCATGGTGTTTATCACAGCAACAGAAAGCAAATGAAAACAAGCAGGTTTGGAAAACTCTTAGTTTTTACTGTTTAAATTAGAAAAAAAATCCCTTGTATTTGTGGGAGTTTTCTTTGCTTTGATTTTGGATTTTTTGAGCTGTATACTGTAATGACAGTATAAACAGGCCACGGAAACCATTTATTCTGTCATTACAGAAATTACATCCCTCACCAGGACCAAAGCAATGTGGGGAGGAAAGGCTCTACTTTACTTTAGAGCTTCCAGTCCCATCATCTAGGGAAGCCAAGGCAGGGACTGAAGCAGAGATCATAAGAACAGTAAGCAGTGCACTCCACGGCTTAGGACCAGCTACTGTTCTAATACAGCCAAAGCCCACAGTAAGCTAGACCCTTCTACAACAATTATCAATCAGGAAAATGCCCACAGGCACGGCCACAGGAAGTGTCACTCGACTGTTTCCCTCTTCTTTGGTGACTCTAGGTGCGTATGAAGTTGATACTTGAGGCTAACAGTGACTCACAGCTTCCCAGAAGGGAGGAGGCAGGATGGTGTCTAACACATGACGACAACTGCGTTTCTTTGCGAAGGATGTAACCCAGAGATTCTTCTACTGAAGAGTGCAGTACATTTCATCACCTACTCTCACTCCTCAAGGAGCCAGTGGACACATACATTAATAAGATTATTTCACAGAAAATAAAGTCTGAAGCTTGTGAAGAGTCTCTGAACTGCAAGCTTTAGAAAGTCAGAGGATTGTACAATTGAACAGGTAAAGCCACTTTACCAAGGTGAATGTATATACCACTTAATCTCAGTTAGAATCCAACAGCAAAAGTCAGTTTTCTATACATATTGAGATGTAAATTTGCGCAAATCTATTTCAAACACTGAGGAGATTTTAAATTGTTTTCTGTTTGTCTTCACTAATATTTTCTAGTTATCATACACAGTGATGGGTTTCACAGTGACACTGTCACATGTCATTATACTTCCTCTTGTTTACCATCCTGTCATGCTCCCTAGCATCCTCTCAGTGCCCTGCCCCCGACAAGCAGCAGCTCCTCTGGCTGCTTTCACCTCACTCATCCTCTTACTCCATTCTGTGCCTTTCCCTCCCTTTGGACCTCCGCCTCCCTTCACAGTACTGACCTCTCTCTCTCTCTCTCTCTCTCTCTCTCTCTCTCTCTCTCTCTCTCTCTCTCTCTCACACACACACACACACACACACACACACACACACACACACACAGTGTTCATCTTTCTGAGTCTAGTCTATTTTACTTAGCACAACCATCTCCAGTGCATCCATTTTCCTGCAAATATCACAATTTCATTCTTTACGCAGAACCAAATCCACCGTGCTTTTGTGTCAAGTTCTGCTTGCCGATTCCTCTGGTGCTGCACACTTAGGCTAGTTCTATAACTTAGCTGCCATGAATAGTGCAGCAGTGAACATGGCTGTGCAAACACCTCTGCGGCATGCTCACTCAGAACATTAAACATTTGCACTAGCTGCAGTATACTCTACTTCTGATTATGACTTTTCTCAAACCTCCATACTGACCTCCAGAGCAGCTGGACTGGACTAAATTACCATCACAGTGTACAAGGTTCCTCTTTTCCCACATCCTCACCAGAATTTTGGTTTTCTTCTTGACAGACATGCTGACTGGGAGGAGGTAGACTTTCAATGTAATTTTACTTCAAAATTTCCTCATGGTGAAGAATATTTTCAAGTGCTCATTGAATAGCTTCTTCCACTGAGAAATATATAGTCAATCTATTAGCCCATTTACTGACTAGATGCTTTTGGGAATTTAGTTTTTGGAGTTCTTTATGCATTCTAGATTCCCAGGACGAACAGTTGGCAAAGCTAACCTCCCTTCCTCTAGCTGCTTCCTCTCTCTGCTGCATGCTTCCTTTTCTGAGCAGATTTTTAATTTCAATCAGTATCATCTGAGTTTTTAGCATTTACCTTTGCTGTCAGGGCCCTTTGCAAAAGCTCTTGCCTTTGCACACATTGTAGAGTTCTGCCAATGTTTTCATCAAATACTTTTAGAGTTTTTGGTTTTACATCATAGTTTTTGATATATTAATAGATATTGGTGCAGGGTGAATAAGGATTGAGTTTCGTTCTATTACTTATAGATACTGATTCCCTGGTACCATTTGTTGAAGAGGCTGTCTAGGTGAACAGGTAGACATGTGCCACAGCACATATACGAGGGTCAGGGGATAAGCTGTGGAGTGGAGTCTCTCCTTCCAGCCTGTGGGTCCCAGGTCCTGAAGTCCCAGGTCCTCAACTCACATGTTTGGTGGCAGAATCCTTTTACCTGCTGGACCATCCTGTCAGTATGCTTCGCATTTTAAAAAGATTTCATTCCATATATTCGATATACAAGGTAATGTGCTATCTGGTTCCCTCTCTTACCCCTTCTGCTTAGTACTACTTGTTTCTCTACACAATTACACTTTTGCTCTCAAGTAATATATGTATATGCATATGTATCACTATAAAATCCAGGAAGTACATACAAGAAAAATATACATTGTCTTCCTGACAATTAATTGCTTCTTGATTCATTTAATAGCTCGAGTTGCATCCACCTTCCTGCCAATGGCATAACATCACTAGTCTTTATGGCTAGAAAAATTCCCCTGTGTATACTCACCACAATCTGCTCACTCACTTCTGCTGTTGGGCACAGATGTTGGTGCCATAACTTGGTCACTAGGAGCAGTGCTGCACTAGACATGGACGTGCAACTGTCTGTGTATTTTGTGTGCTGGCTTGAGGCCTTTGTGTATATACCCTAGAAGGGTATAGTGGTGGAGATCATGTGGTAGATCTAGTTTTTAAGAAGCTACCAACCCAATTTGCATGGTGGCTGGACCAGCTCGCCATCCTGACATCGATGAGAGAGTTCTGTTCACTCAGACCCTCATCAGTATTTGTGCACTTTCCTACTAAGTCCCAAACACAGGTCTTTCACCTCAAGTTCATTTTCAGGCTTCGAACCTTGCTTAGTATACTGTGATTTGATCCTATCATTATTTTAAAATGACAAAGGAAAATGCTACAATCTGAGTCTTTTATTAAATTTAACAAGGCTCCTGAGGCCATGAAACAATCAACGTATTACCATTTCCATCACCACCACCCCTGGATTAAACACCACCATGGTCAGCACCAGCCTGTTCTGTGTATTTTTTCCAGCTTTACGGAGACAGAGTTGACTGTATATCTTTCCACTCCTCTTTGGGCAGAAGGAAATGGTATGGCCTGTGTTTGGATCTTTTCCATTTCAACTAGCAACACTAAGCACAAGACAAACTAAAATACCAAAAGTGCTTCACTGAGACGTGACTGGATGACACAAAAAGTCATGAAATATGTTCTCAACCCTTCTACTCTGAGGTGTCTCTGGGAAAAGAGACTGTTGCTGACTTACTCAGGCACCCTCACCTGCATGCATACAGTCATATATAATAAAACATAAGTGCATGCATGCATGCATGGTGCGTGCATGTATCCTCCTTACTTTGAATCATCTAGACAATACGCACTGTACCAGCCTCTTTACATGGGCAGGATTCTTAACATCACCCACTTCCTGCCATGTTCAACTCTGGCCTTCCACTCTCAACTGTGATTTCCACCCAACAACAAAACAACAAAACACAGACAAATCAAGCTGCTCTGTCTTTAAGGGGCCTCACAGAATGTTTATCCTGGCTTATCTCTGGCTGCTCTTAGCTCTTCCCCGATTTGCCGTTCACTACCCTCCTTACACCTGTTGTGTCCACCACCTCCACTTCCTCTCTCCAGTCAGGCCCTGAGCACCACTTGTGGCAGGACTTGGAAGGCATATGTTCTCCTTACTGCTTGAGTTCCATGGATGATCTTGCAAATCCAGGAGCTTCATCTATTCTTGACCATGTTCTCAATGACACATGTCAGCATACACCTTACTCCCAGATCCCTAGATCCAGTGGATTCCATTTACATTGTTGATGTAGATATATTTTAATCCTCAACATGTCCCCAGATAACCTACCTGATAACTTGCCAATCTGTTTATAACCTTTATCAAAGAATTAATGTCCTACTACCTAGCTTCCTACTCCAGAATCATGAGTCTTATAAAGTGTCATTAGTCTCCATTCCCCAGAGATTCTCTAACATATCCTTTTGTCCTCAAGTCCACTTTCTGGCCTGTTAATAGAAACTCTAAATTAACATCCCATTCTCTAAGCAAATACTGTATGCAAACCATTTTGTGAATAAAAATATAAATTCTATTTGTAATCTAATTATAAGTACAATTAAAACTTTTATTAGTAATTGTCTAATACGGTTTTAGTCATAGTATCCTACATTTTCTAAATGTTTCACTAAAATTGCACATATTTTAGAAACAAAAGTCAAACCACAGTGGACAGGGAACACAGGGGAACATTGGCACAGGGGATGGGAGTCAGGTATAAGTTTTAAGGTACAAAAACATACATGGAAGAAAATGACACAAAATATACTACATTATATGACAACTTAATAATAATAAATAGTAAATACATTACTTTGTATAACTTAGTAACAACTTTTTAAAGGAAGGAGAAAAATGAAAAAGCAAAGGAAGGACACCATACCATGCAGCATTTGCATGCCGTGAAGACATTCCCATGTGGGATGAAGGTTTGGTGACAACCCGGGCGCTGGGGAGTCGGTACAGAGGCAAATCTTCCTGTTGTCTTCTTTGGGCAACAGCTGGGAGGTCAACAAGCACGCCAGGGCCTTGCAAGTCACTCGGAATCATCATGCCTGAAGAATCCAGACGAAGAGAATACAAGATAAAGTAACTCAACGACACACAGTTAAAGGGCGCCCACTATAGGGACAGCCCTTCTAGCTAGGAGACGCTGACAGTAAAGTATGCTTGTCAAAGACTCAATGCCAGATGGCGGAGAGCACCACTGAAAAGTGAAGCAAGGAAGGGGGAAGGGCCGCACAGAGGAAGGTTTCCAGTGGGTCCTCAGGGAAGAACAAACAAATGAACTACACTAGGTACTTTATCAATACCATTAATTTATCAAAAGAACTCACTTAGGTTTTCTAATCTTACTGCAAAGTTTTCCTTTCTTGCCCCGAGCTATTCTGGCCATGGAATTTATTCATTTAAACAAAATGACCCCATTGAACAACAGAAAGGCTTAGTTTAGAAACAGCAGAGTTCTTTTCTACCTGTTGACACATTCTATTTTCACAGATAATTAATTGTGAGAAAGAAAGGACATTACTAATTATATTTTATGAAAGGGGAAATTCAGGTTAAAGATTTAGCTAATTTTTAGTTTGTACAAGCACAGGCAAGGGGGTGCACACATGCCACAGTGCTGGCACTTGTGGGCCAGAAGACCACCTGTAGGACTTGGTTTTCTTAGGTCATCAGGCTTCGAAAGTGCCTTTACCTGCTTGGCCATCTTACTGAGCCAATGTTGTATACCTGGCCACTAAAGAACACACATTACCATAACTTATTTCAAAGCTTACCTTCATTAGGCCAAGCTCTTATTATTTTAATTCACTTATGGAGTGGTACATACAAGTGTATGTAGGTATGCATGAGTGCACACATGAGAAGGCAGAACAAGACACGGGCTCTCTTCCTCGACTACTTCCTGCCTTATTGCCTTGGGACAGGGTATCTCACCGAACCTGAAGCTCACTGTTTAGTTAGGCTGGCCTACCAGAGAGCAATCAAGACCAGCCTAGCTCATCTCTCAGTGCTGGGATTACAAGCACATATGCCCAGCTTTTTACACAGATGTTGGAGATTTTAACCCAGGCTTTCCTGCCTGCAAAGCAGGAGTGAGTCACTGGCCAGCCTCTTACTTTAATTCTTATTCTTTGTTGTCGTTGTTGTTGGAGAGACAGTCTCACTATATGGCCCAAGGTAATCTCAAACCCAGAAAGATCTGTCTCTGCTTCCCAATTGTTGGGATTAAACGTATGAATATGTGTGCCCATAGTGGCCAGAAGAGGGCCTGAGAATCCCTGGAAGTAGAGTTTATAATCGACTTGTTTATGGTGGTTTTTTTTTTTTAATTTTTGAATTGTTTTTAACGTTATATGTGTACAGTGTACATGTGGCAGCCGGAGGACAGCTCTCAGGAGTGGATTCTTTATTCCATCCTGTGGAAGGTCTCTGTGTTCCTGCTGCTGCATGAGCTCCCGGCAATTCTCTCTGCCTCCCACCTCGGCATAGGCATACTGGATCACAAAAGTCATGCAATGCCTCTGGCAATCAATTTCAGGTTTCAGGGTACATGGAAAGTGCTTTCACCTAATGAGCCAACATGCGCATGCGTGTGCATGTGTGTGTGTTCTTCATTATCATCTATGTTGTTTGTTTTGCATTTGTATCTGTGTGGTATGCTTGCATGTATGCATGGTCACGTGTGTGGGTGCACTTATGTGCTCATGTGTGGAGGCCTGAAGTGATGCAGTGTCTTTCTTGGTCCCTCCCTACCTTACAAAGGCTGGGTCTCTCTGAGCCTAGAGCTCACCTATAGTTAAGTCTGGCTACACAGCTCCTGAGGACTCAGTCTTTGCCTCCAAAGCACTGGGATTAGATCTGTCACACTTACCTGGCTTTTACAGGGGTTCTTAAAGGGGCAGGATCCTGACCCTCACACTTGTGCGGCAAGCACTTTACCCACCAAACCATGTCCCCAGCCCCAGCCTCTTCTCCTTCATTTTGGTTTCTGTTTAGAAAGGCTCATGTTCTAACCTTGAGGCACACTGGTTAAGGGGAGAGCAACAGTGTGGGACTCCAGCCAGAGGCAGATTCTGGACCGGGCTGGGATGCAGCTCTGTGGTAGAAGGGCTGCCTGGAGCGCCTGAGGCCCTGGCTCTGATCCCTAGCACCTCATGAACCAGCTGTGGTCCCCATCACTCAAGAAGGAGGGGCAAGATCAGAAGTTCACAGTAATCCTCAACTACATAGTTTGAGGCTACCTGGGCTATTTTCCAGAAAGCAGAGTGATTACAGACAGAAAAGCAGCATGGATGAAGAGCTGACTATGAACAGTTCTGTACAGTCAGCAGGGGATGGGAAAACTAGCAGGTCAAGCACTGGAGAACTTTGCTATCCAGGAAGGAGCCTGACTTGCTGTGACAGGAGCCAGTGGGGCCAGCCTCGGGGACCCATGAACCATAAACTGAGTCCCCACCACCCCAAATCCTCACAACATTCTTCTTTGAAATTGGCATTCTTGAAGAAAATGTGAAATGCTACAACTTGTAACGTGTAGGCTGAAAGCTCCCTTGTAGGTAAGGAGATGGAACGTAACTTTAGAGGGCTGCATAACAATAAATACTGCCGCATTTATCCAAACTATATGAAATGCCATACAGATTTTCATCGAGATTACTATTTCAGAGGCCGTGGCTCAAGGGAAGTTGCTTGCAACCAAGTTTGGCAACTGGAATTCCATCTCTGGAACCCACATGACATGAGAGCAGGACAGCGCCACCTCTGACTCTTCATGAACAAGTGCATACACAAATACATGAGAAAAAGGATTTTTTAAAGTTATTTGATTTGGATACTTGTTTTTAAAAAAGGTTTCTTTCAGAAGTTAAGCCAGAGGTTAGAATTTTTAAAAAGACAATGTATTTCATTTACTATCATACAATATGTAAGGAGTTATATGTGCTTAAGAGCTTCAAATGCAAGCACTTGTGGCTTTTAAATATTCACTCAACAAACATATGTGGAGTATCCACTACTTGCCAGAAAGTGCACAAATCTTACAAAAGTTCTCACTGCATAGAGCTACTGTTCTAATGATGAGAGACAGAATGGATACCTGGACTGATCCTCAGAAGCCTTCAGTTCTAGGGAAGAATATGAAGCAATTAGCGGACAGATAAGATACAGTGACTTCAGACAAGAAGCCAGGAACTACTTGGAGCTGCATCATGTATGTTAGGCACAGGAGACAGCATGAGGAGGGGAAAGATGGAACTCACTCAATAAATATTCTAACTTGCTACCAAAAATAAAAGCACCTCCACTCAGCCAGAAAAAGTAGAATGATAGGAGCCAGAGGTGGGTGAGCCTGAAACCAAAATACAAGTGAAAAAAGCAATACTCTGCAACTGGAGCTCCCCATGGCCTGCTCCCTGGCCCAGCCTGCCCTGCTCCTGGCCTGCTCCCTGGCCCAGCCTGCCCTGCTCCTGGCCTGCTCCCTGGCCCAGCCTGCCCTGCTCCTGGCCTGCTCCCTGGCCCAGTCTGCCCTACTCCTGGCCTGATCCCTGGCCCAGCCTGCCCTGCTCCCAGCCTGATCCCTGGACTATTCCCTGGCCCAGCCTGCCCTGCCCCATTACCCTTACTGTGCTTCAGAGCTCTTCAAAGAGACATCAGAAACTCTCTCTTTTCCATCCTGACCTAGGCTGTCAGGACTACGGTCCAAATAGTTTCCCACTCTTCTCCATGCTTCTGCCCATCATGCCCTGGTCCCCAGGCATGCGGTCTATCCTGTGCTCTATCGATAAGCCCGTGCCACAGCCTCCTGATTTTCTCTTATTTAATGAAGACCTTTATTCCAGCCTCTCAGGATTGCTTTGGATATCTACTCTTTAACCCAACTTAGGGAACTCCAGCCCCCTCCTCCCCTTCCTCCAGTTTCCTAGAATGTGTAAGACGGTCCAAAAGACATGTGTGAGACATGTCACCTGTGTCCTCTTTCTGTCTGCTCAATAAAACAACTAAGACATGCTGAGGAGGCTGTGCCTTACAGAGGCCTGCGGCCGCAGGGGCACTAGCTTATTTATCAACTAGAGTATATAAGATTTATTTGTTATTTTATGTATATGAGTACACTGTAGCTGTCTTCAGACACACCAGAAGAGGGCATCAGATTCCACTGCAGATGGTTGTGAGCCACCATGTGGGTGCTGGGAATAGGACTCAGGACCTCTAGAAGAACAGTCAATGCTCTTAACCTCTGAGCCATCTCTCCAGCCCTCACTAGAGTTGATTACATCCAGAGACTCGCTAGTCTGCCCTCATGTCTGTAGGAATATGAGGGATTTTACACCAAAGGCCTTCATCAAATCTGTGTCTTTATCTTGTTTTAGAGACTTAACTCTCTAGAAAACTGGAACTGACCTGGCAGCCACAGAACCAGCTCCATCTTTTTCTGTAAATGCCACCCATATTTCACCTTGAGCGATGTGCCTACTAAATAACCACTCCTTTTGCTTCTGGTCTTGAGCAGAAACTGCAGCAACAGGTCTAATCAAGTGGCGATGGAGCAGAGACAAAGTGAATAAATAGAATTATCATGCTCAGATGCCTTTCCCATCTCCAGTCACTTTCACTGCCAACGGCTGGGACCCATTCCTGGGTGCTAGTCAAAATGGGCCTGACAGCTCCAGGGGTCGTCTGTGCACCTCCACCCAACGCATGGGAAGGCAGAAGGGAGCAGGACCCAGGCAGTGGCTGTAACCACAACAAAAGTTCCACTTGCCAAGCGATCTCCCAGAGCCCACTGCTATGCTGTGCGAGTTCATGCAGACTAGTTACAACTTCTCATGCCTGTTGCCCAGGCCTGCTGCCCACTGGCTCCTCTCTGGCCCTTTGCCAGCACACAAATGCCCATTTCTCACCTCTCACAATGTTTGACACACACTTTATAGAGCTGTTCACCCTGTGCTCACAGCGCCCAGCAGCCCATAAAACAAATCATGTCCTGGAGGCCTATGCAGTCATTAGGCAATGGCTGTAATGGACACAGAGGTTATAAAAACAGGGAGGTTAAAAAAAAAAAAAAAGGCCCCTGGATAAATGGAAGTTAATGCTTACAGAAGAGGAATGGGGAAATTTTTTCCAAACCTTTATACATGGTGAAGTGTAAGAACAAAACAGCATGGAGAAAAAGCAAGAACTGGGGCAGAGAGGACGGGTGGTTGTATAATTCAGCAACAGAAACACAACAAAACCAAGTGAGCTGATGTGCTGAACAGGCAGCCTGCTGCCTTCCCACCTGACAAACACTACTTCTGCGCACACTGTGAGAAGTGAGCCCACTAGGGACAATGCTCGCCCTCCAGAAGCTTCACTTACAGTGACGAGTGGACTGAAAATAGGTACACACAACAGAAATCCATCCAGAGTGGGCAGTAAGATGGAAACAGAGATGTTTCTTCCTGGACTTTTGGGACACTCGTTTACAAGTTTGTTCTCACACTCTGTGGAATGTGAGTACTTTAAAGAAGCAGCATTTTGTTGGTGTGAGGTTTTTGCCATTGTTTCTGTTGGTGACGAAATGACTGTGCTCTACTGCCACTTCACCATATCCAAAGTCCAAAGCCATCATTTTAGACTAGCCAGAGAGTCATGACTAGCCTGTCACACACAGGCTATGAATAAATGATTTTAAAATTAATTGTTCTATAAACACAAGATGGTTTCTTGCTGATGGAGTGGACTTGTGAGCTGCAGATTTGAAAGGGATTCCAAGACTCTCAGATCTAGTCTTCGACTTTCCGACTGAGGAAAGAGAGGCTCCGAGAAGCTACCAGCAGGTTATCAGTTTAGTACAGAGGAGTCTGGTATTTACACAGGGTCTATTGTTTGCTGAGCAAAGCTCTCAAGGGGAAAATGAAAATCAGAATTTTATCAACTCGGTATGCATGCTGCCAAGATGTGTATCAGCCCACACCACTATCTTCTTAGCTTGGCAAGATGAGCAACCAACCAATCTAGTCATATCTGTCACAGCATTTCCTGATGTGTGTGTTTATAAATGGCTTCTGAGCGAGGACACGTCCACAACACATGACTTTAACAGCAGTCCCCAAATGATTGTTTTAAGAGTAACTACCTATGGCCTTGTAAAGTTGCATGCTGTTCCTGCATCTCCTCTCTGAGAATCTATAGATGGCTTCTGGGAGAGGGAATGTTATTTTCTTCAGTAATGCAGTCACCAACAAGTTGTTTATGCTCCCATAAAGAATGCCCCACCTCTGCTGCTATAAGAAGCTCTAATGAATGTCACTGGGTCACTGGTGAAAAGATGACAGATGACATGAAGGTAGAAAGGGAACAAGTTGGAAAGAGGAAAAGGATCAACGGAGTGAGAGGGAACAAGAGCGGAATGGAGGCGGATGCGACCGAAAGACATCATATATCTGATTAGAAAAGCCATAACAAAACTCATTCTGTATAATTAATATGTGGTAATAAAATCCAAGAATAGTATTAAATGGGACAGAACCTTTGAAATTAAGATGCAAAACTCGGGGGGGAGGTTTCATGCACAGTCATGCAGAAGGGAGGGAGAGAGGGAGGGAAGAAAAGAGGGAGAGAGGGAGGGAGAGAGAGAGGGAGGGAGGAAAAGAAGGAGAGAGGGAGGGAGAGAGAGAGAGGGAGGGAGGAAAAGAAGGAGAG